TCTCTCACATTTTTCTTTTCCCTTTTTTTTTCTTCCCCTACCCATCACACCTTCTGAGGAGCTATTATTTTGATTGGAGTTTTATAAACTCCAGATATGTTTTGGTGATATAGTCATCTGACAATATTGATTATACCTGTCTAGGAAAAGAGGACATCTTTTTTTTTAATCAGGGATCCAACTCGGGACCTTGCACTTTCAAGGCAGGTATCTCTTTTCTGATATCTTCTTCAATCTCCTTTTTCAGAGCACTATACTTTTCCTCATAGATCATCTGCTTCCCTGGTTAGATTCCTAAGTATTTATTTCTTTGAAGGTGTTGTGAATGGGATTGTTTTCCTGATTTCTTTCTCCACAGATTCCTTGCTGGTGTACAGCATGATATTGATTTTTGTGAGTTGATTATGTAACCACTCCCAAAGATTGGCACAATCAGGGTGCTGCAAGAGTGAGCTAAGGTTGGCTCTTGACTTGGGGGCTCTGAGCTCACAAATGCTGCAGACTCAGTACAGAAAATGGCAGTGATCATCCAAATGCTGACACTGAGTGGGGCCACCTGTCCTTGTTCCGACCTGTCCATGTAATCACGACACTGAACCTCTGTCCATGGTGGAGGGCCAAGTGTGCAGAGAAAGAGGCACTGTCTGTCCTGCGGCTGACCTCAGACTTCGTTGCATGTTTTATTCTTTTTGTCACATAGAACTACATTTGTTGAATTATTAGCTGTACAAAGCTGTGTTTTTTCACTTCAAGTTGCATGCTGCATTTACCTTAAAATGTTAATTTTGGTTTTCAAGCAGAATAAAAGGTAATTTTATTTTTCTGGAATTTACCAACATTTATTTTTGTCAGTACATGTCTATAGTGAGATGTGTTAAGTAGAATGAACAGAGGCCCCACGATTAATGTAAAATGTTGATTTTAGCCATCAGTCGCATATGATTAAGTTTCTGTGTGTTTACAGGTGAAATTCCACTTGTTTAAAGGAACAATTTCTTAAATTAGAAGGAAGCAAAAGGATCAGCGTTTAACCAACACGTTAAATTTCATTTTTAAAAGTAAAGTGAGAAGGGCTGGAGATTTAGCTCAGTGGTTCTGCCACCTGCCTTGAAAGCATGAGGTCCCAAGTTCAATCCCTGGTACAAACAAACAAAAAAGTACAATAAGAACACTGCAACACACCAACTTTAAAACATAATAAATCTTTATTCTCAACAATTGCTTTGCTTTTAATGAATGACCTACAAAAGTGCCTAAGTTACGAAGGCCGTTTAAAGCAGAAAAGGGGGGTTGAATCCTTTCACGAAGCCATTGGAAACAGGGTCTTAAATCCTTCCTACACTCATTAGCCTTTGAGAACTACGAATTTAAGCATCCCTAAAACAACTTCAGTTTTGGAAACTTGGTTATTTCTCATGGATTCCTCCGGCATCAATTTTTAGAGTTATGGAAGATGTCCTTAAGGAATAATTTTTTATTCTATTTACTCTTCAACCAAATAAATTATACAAACAATGTTCATTTTGTGAATTTAACAAACAGGCTGACCCTAACTCAAGCCAACCACCATGTCATCTCTGACCCCCAACCCATGATCAATGGGGATCAGAATCCCTGAGAGGTCCGTGTGGGTCTCTGTAGGAGTGCAGCCAAGCTCAATGGGGACTCCAGAGGGCTAGAGATGACAAGAACATGGGAGCCCTGCCCAGCAGAGCTGTAGGCAGTGAGCAGAGCCAGCCCAGCCCAGAGGCTCTGAAGACTCAGCCAGCAGTGGGCCCAGACCCTGTGGAGCTGAGCTAAAGGACTCACTCAATGTTTTCCTGCCAGTTTTGGGTTCTTGTCTCACCACAGGCCTGAAAACAACAGAGCCCACTGAATGTGGACTGAAACCTTTGAAGCCGTGACCCAGAATTAGTCCTCTCTCTCTCATTGGGGCACTCCCAGGCATTTTGTCACAGGCCCGGAGAGCTGACTAACAGAGGTCCAGAGTCAAACTTTCTCCACCAAACTGGATGAGTTTTCCACGAGTTCTCTGAGGACATCTGAGGCAGTAGGCAGGAAAATTTAACCTTAGCATCACACTTTATGTCCAGAATTTTCCACACCATGAATTCTGAAACTTGATTCTTGGGAAGGCAGCCTTGGAGTCCCTCTGAATGTATCTCATGTGTGACTGTGAGACTATAAAACATCACCAGCCAGAGACAGCAGGGACATCATTTACAAGAGCATTTGTGAAAACAGGCACATTTATTAAAATTTTACCCAAGAACCTTGGATGAAAATGTAATTCACTGGTGCCTACTCCCCCTGTCTAGGTAGCAGAGATGATTAAAGAATTTGGAACAGTGAATGCCCATGGTAGTTGCTCAATAAATGATTGCTCAGTTGAAGTAAACCTCGATGGGTGTCTATCACTTATTGTGGAACATTTTGAACTCTCTACTCCTGCCAGTTTAACTATTTTTTTTTAATTTTAGCATGCTGACAAGGGTCAAAATAAACAGCAATAAATAACCAAGAAACACAATGTACCTTAGTAAAGAAATAAGTAAAACACAACTCAAAATGAAATTCAGTGAGGCAAAGGCAGGCTAATAGTTCTTATAACTATATCGTGTTCGACTAAAGAATTCCTCTCATCAGCACGTACTTCCGAGAGTGTTACACACCACAAGGTAAATAGCTCCCATAGTCTCAAACTCATAACAAAGTGAGAAAAGAGTACAGAATCATCACCTTTGTCTTCAAATTGACTGCTGCCTGAACCACATCTCACACTGAGCCCAATCCAGCCAGGAGAGGATGGGGAGAGAACGCCCTGAACAGACAGGACTAATTAACCCGAAGCCTACATACTGCAAGCTGGAATATGGAGACGGCGGTTCTTAGAGTACTATGAGAAACTCTTGTCACCGCAGACACTGAGAAGTGACAAATTCAGCTTGGCATAATTAATTTTTAATGTTGACTCTCATTTGTTAAGGGCTATAAACAGGAGCCAAGTACTAGATCGGAGAAAAATCTAAACTCCTATTTACAGAAAAGATAGGTCTGACCTGTTAGGGGGTCGCAGGCATGGAGCCTTAGGTGGGCCCTGCGGGGTCTCCTGAGGCAGAGGCCAGGATCCCTGGGAAGCCCCCTCTGCCCTGCAGCCCACGGAGCCCTGAACATGGAATCAGAATGTGGAAACAGGAGCTGCTCTCTCCCCCACACCTCCCTCCTTGGGTGCAGCTCCAAACACACTAGGTGTGAGCACTGTCAGGCTCTTACTGGACCTGAATTTGTCTTAGTGACTGGCATCCTGAGGTCCTGGTTCCCAGGATTCTCTGCCCTCTCTTTGTTCCTCCATTGCTCACCTGCAAGCCCCTCTCCTCCCTCTTAGTCTTCCTCCTAACAATAGTCTCCCTTCTACTCTCCTGTCATCATTGAGATCCCAATTAGGGAGCACCTTGATAGTTCTTCCAAGTCTGGCTTACTCCACTCAACACGATGATCTCCATTTTTGCCTGTTTTCTTGCAGTGACTTCAGCACTGCTTCAGAAAGTGGCAAGAGCAGTGTGCAGCTTATGCTCACTTCCAGGTGTGCTAAGCAGTGGGGGAGATTCTGAGTTGAATTAGTGGCCATGTGTCTTTACTGTAAGAAATGTTTTGAATGTAAACACTCACCATGTGTTTTCATCACACCTTGTAACCTTGTCTGATGCTTAGTAACATCTACACACAGGTGACAACACACAGGTAGTGGAACACAGACATACACTGGCCCCTAATGTATACATGTACACACAATCCTGGAACTTACTCCATTATACTTGTACCTCTTTCTAACTGAAGTCTGAGTGATTCACCATATAAACAAAAAGAAAGGTCCTTAAGTCAATTTAAGACATGAATCAATACCTACAAATATATGTATTTTACTAAATCTACATATGTATCTATCACATTACACATATTACTAAATATCATGAAACAAACTCAGTAAAAAAAATGGGAAGATACAGACCATGAATATCTTCCTATGAAAAGAAAGCCCTGTTTCCTGACACATGCACCTTGTCTGGGACCCTTGTCACTGCCCAAGGAGCCCTCTTCCTCCACTGACCCAAAGAGCCCGAATCCAGAGCCCTCTACCTGAGCACAGCCAGGGCAACATCATGCTCTGGGTTCTGGCCTCTCATGCTAAAGGGGATACCTGTGGGGTGGGGCTGACTCCACTGGAATGCAGGTGATGGGGACCTCAGGTTTCCTGGTAGGCATTGTGACCACAAGTGACACCAGATGGGTCCTGCAGGGACACACAGTTACACTGTATATGCCTGAAGGTGGGTGTCTGAGGATAGTTATGTCACCAACATGCTCCACTCACACCTTCCTGGTCTGCCAAGCTCCCAGCATCCCTAGCTGGATCTGGAAGACCCTTCAGGCCTGGCTACCCTGTCACCTTGGTGGGACACAGCTGGGGAGCTCGTGTCTGAGACCTGAGACACTTCTGGAACCACTTAGTCTGCTCACAAGACCTCAGGGCCAGCAAGACAGTCACAGATGAGCACAAGTGAGTGACAGATGAACATTGCCAGTCAAAGGAGGCAGCTGGACCTTTCCCACTGGGGTAGGGCAATGAGTGTCACAGACTGAGGTGCCTGCGTGTTGGATGTGGAGACGGATCAGGTGTGGGGCACATTCAGCCAGTGATGACCTGTGCCTTTGCAGTGCAGAAAGCCTCAGGGAGCTCCAGGGCCTCACCTGCTTGTCAATGGAGAATCCCAATTTCTCTTAGGTCCCCTGCGCTGTGCTGACACTTTGGGCCAACTGGGCAAACTCATCCATCTTTGATCCTCACAGATGTCAAACAGAGATGTCAGTATTTTTGTTGGTGAAAAATAATTAACTAGGGGCTCACCCCTTCGTATACACATACACAAAACTTTGGCATTAACTCTGTCCCTGAGAATCTCCATCCGTCTCTCTGGGGGGCTTCATCAGAGCAACTGAAAGGAAAAGCCTCCACACAGTCTTATGCGAATACACATATAAATAATTACAAACAAACATGTTTTGTGAATCCCTATTGCTGTCTTATACAAACGTATCAACCTACAAGTCCTAGTTCATTAGTAAACAAATAATGAACACATTATATGAACATCACCTTATCCAGACTCCATCATCCTCATCCATCCTGGCCGGGGCCCGTGGAGCTCCCTCAGCCCTGCTGATAGGAAAGGGCCCCAGTCCAAGCCAGAGAGGTCCTTCAGAGACACTGAACACAGTCCTCTTTGGAGGCACCTACCTGGGCAGGTGACTTTAACAGGAAGAGACAGCGTGGCAAGTCTCTGTGGGGAGCTGGCTTCTCTTTCCTCGATTCTCTCTTAGTATGAAAACCAACTTTCCTGCCCCAGAGGGAGATCACAGTCCAGGACCTCAGAGGGAGGAGTGACCCTAATAAGGTGGAATTTCAGGTGAGGAGGAGCCATTGTGAAAATGCATTACGGTTAGACTGAACTAGACTGTGGGGACAGTGCTGGGCCAAGTCAGTCTGAGGACATCTGGGGGCCAGGCAAGTTGCCTCACGTGCTGGCCTAGTCACTTGCAAACAGTTCTCACTGGATCTAGAATATTCTTTGTGGTCGGCCAGCTTGACAAAGAAATGCCCCATGGGTTTATTATTTACATATAGGCAGTCACTTCATCACTTCTGTCTACACACAGATGTCCATAGACCTCTCCAGAACAGAGTTGAACCTAGAGTGAGCCATATTAATAGTTACATATATAAAATACCTGTTTTGCATATTCCTACACAAGATTTATTCCTATACAAGGTACTTTGGTTTGTGAGTTTACAGTATTTCAGTATATTAATAAAAGAAAATTCAATAGTTTTTATATGAGAGAATCACAAATATATATTTTAATAACTCCATATACCTATCTGACGTATCAATGCATGGACTTTTTTTATTTTGTAAAATGTACAAGCATCAATAAATACACATGAAAATACAATGAGAAATTAATCTCAAGATGCCCTAAAGAAGCACACATTCATCCTCATCCATTCTTGTGCAGGCCCAAGCAGCCCTCTCCTCCTATCCCGAGAGAAAGGGTGACTGGGAACCAAGGCTCAGGCCATACCTTCCCCAATAGCTCCCAGTGGTTCTCACCTTCCAGCAGACACCATATGGGTTCTGTTTTCTGGAGACAGCACAGGATCATCTCTGTCTGTGGATAGCCGGCCTCTAGACTCAAAATTGTGTCCCTAGGACAAAATCACAGACTGGGGAGGTGATGGAGTGGGTGGAGGGTTGACTCTCCACCTGGAGAATTCCAGAAGACAGGGGACTTTGGGTTGCCATGGAATTGATGGGAGGCAAGATGGCTGCTGACTGAAAGGTTTCTCTGTGTCATTTGATCTGATGGCCTCAGAGGGCCAGGCACATGGGCCCAGCTGCTGAAGGCTGCCTGTCCTGACCCAGGCACATTGGCCACCCTACTTCAATCTACAGAATCCCTCATGGTTGGCTGTCACAAAAGTTACCTTGATCAGACCCTATGCAGGAGCTGAGTCCTGGTCCATATTGGGTGGGATGAGTCCTGGAAGCTTCACTATGCTTACAGGACCTTCTGGTCAACAAAGTAGGTGACAGACCAAAGTTTCCAAGTCAGAGACAAGGTGTAGAGCTTCCTTCTCCAGGAAGATGGATGAGATTTGGAGCTAATTTAGGTTCACCCAAGTATAGGGTGAGAGGTGGGATGAACTCCACAGGCTGGTTAGGTTGAGTGATGGTAGATGGGTCTGAGGATCACCATGAAAGCTCAGACTGAACCTGACCTCTGATCACAGGGATGGCGCCTGAGTTATTTAGTTCATAACACTCTGGCTGTCCATTAATGGCCTGGCCACAGCTAAAGAGAATCACAAATATATATTTTAATAACTCCACATACCTATCTGACATATCAATGCATGGACTTTTTTATTTTGTAAAATGTACAAGCATCAATAAATACACATGAAAATACAATGAGAAATTAATCTCAAGATGCCCTAAAGAAGCACACATTCATCCTCATCCATTCTTGTGCAGGCCCAAGCAGCCCTCTCCTCCTATCCCGAGAGAAAGGGTGACTGGGAACCAAGGCTCAGGCCATACCTTCCCCAATAGCTCCCAGTGGTTCTCACCTTCCAGCAGACACCATATGGGTTCTGTTTTCTGGAGACAGCACAGGATCATCTCTGTCAATTCTACTTCCTTTTTCTGCATTGAAGTCGCTCCCTTCAAATTCTCTGTAGGCTCCAATTTTACTATCAGATCCTTTCTAGGTCCCAGGGAGCCACCTTCCTCCTTCTTTTCTTTCCCATGTTGTTATTTTCCAGAGTCTGGATTCCAAGTCTTGGAGAGGCTGATTTGTTGCTCTTTACCACCCTGCCATTTCCCCAGAAGTCCTCCTTTTTCTTAATTTGACTGTGGATAGCCGGCCTCTAGACTCAAAATTGTGTCCCTAGGAGAAAATCACAGACTGGGGAGGTGATGGAGTGGGTGGAGGGTTGACTCTCCACCTGGAGAATTCCAGAAGACAGGGGGACTTTGGGTTGCCATGGAATTGATGGGAGGCAAGATGGCTGCTGACTGAAAGGTTTCTCTGTGTCATTTGATCTGATGGCCTCAGAGGGCCGGGCACATGGGCCCAGCTGCTGAAGGCTGCCTGTCCTGACCCAGGCACATAGGCCACCCTACTTCAATCTACAGAATCCCTCATGGTTGGCTGTCACAATAGTTACCTTGATCAGACCCTATGCAGGAGCTGAGTCCTGGTCCATATTGGGTGGGATGAATCCTAGAAGCTTCACTATTCTTACAGGACCTTCTGGTCAACAAAGTAGGTGACAGACCAAAGTTTCCAAGTCAGAGACAAGGTGTAGAGCTTCCTTCTCCAGGAAGATGGTTGAGATTTGGAGCTAATTTAGGTTCACCCAAGTATAGGGTGAGAGGTGGGATGAACTCCACAGGCTGGTTAGGTTGAGTGATGGTAGATGGGTCTGAGGATCACCATGAAAGCTCAGACTGAACCTGACCTCTGATCACAGGGATGGCGCCTGAGTTATTTAGTTCATAACACTCTGGCTGTCCATTAATGGCCTGGCCACAGCTCGTTGACCATGCATGTCTCCCGTGGTTGTCCCATACCCAGTCACCTTGGGAATTTAACCTGGGGAGCTCTGAGGCTGACTGAGTTCCAGCTTCAGTTGGCCCCTCCCTAAAATGCTTTCTGACCTGGAACACTGTCCAGGGGATATGGCAGGTGCTGAACTGGTTGCACTCTGCAGCTATTGTACTGCAAGGCATCCATTGCTCTGGTGCATCTCTCCCTGAAGGCCTCTGGAGTTGCCCACTTTCACTGTGACTCTGTGCATTCAATCTTCCTTTCTCACAAGTCACAAGCTAGGAGGCAGGGAGAAAGCACACATTGCTACTTCCTTTTTCTGCATTGAAGTCGCTCCCTTCAAATTCTCTGTAGGCTCCAATTTTACTTTCAGATCCTTTCTAGGTCCCAGGGAGCCACCTTCCTCCTTCTTTTCTTTCCCAAGTTGTTATTTTCCAGAGTCTGGATTCCAAGTCTTGGACAGGCTGATTTGTTGCTCTTTACCACCCTGCCATTTCCCCAGAAGTCCTCCTTTTTCTTAATTTGGGTACTAGTTTACAAGGGATTTTTCACCTGATAGAATTTAATAAGGTTGGATACTTATAATTGGTCCTGTTTATTTTTCTGTTTGACATATTTCAACAGAAAAATCTCTCTAAGAAAAAGTGTCAATACAATGTGTAAAAACTTATCTTGTCAGCCAAATACACTTGTCCCTTTAATGTTCAAACAAGTTGCAGAGTAGCTGTTTGGACACTAGAGGGAGACATTGAATTCTAGTAGTTTGGGGACACTGGCAAAGTGTTTGAAGGAATGCACCTGGGAAAATTTTTTAATGGAAGAATAGCAAAAATATATATCCTCAAAGCAAAGCATAATAACCAATCATTCATTGATTTATAAAAAGATAGGTTCCACTTTAGTATAAGTGTGTTCTTATCTGAGCCACCAGCAGGTGGAAACTGAGATATAGTCTCTTATCCAAGTCCAAATTCTGGAGAGAACTCTGAGTAGTCCAACATTTCAGGATTCCTTTGAGCAGGGAGTAGGATTGTGCAGCATAACTGAATCAGAAAAAACTGTGAGGACTCCAGACAGACCACTCTTAACATGAAGATAGGAGCAAAAAACAGCTTTTAATGCTGGCAGCTCAGCAAGTGGCTCCTATCAGTCAGAACCCTGAACAGAAGTTTGCTGGAGAGAACTCTGAGTAGTCCAACATTTCAGGATTCCTTTGAGCAGGGAGTAGGATTGTGCAGCATAACTGAATCAGAAAAAACTGTGAGGACTCCAGACAGACCACTCTTAACATGAAGATAGGAGCAAAAAACAGCTTTTAATGCTGGCAGCTCAGCAAGTGGCTCCTATCAGTCAGAACCCTGAACAGAAGTTTGCACTGTTTTATATACCTCTTTTTACATCTAGGCTTCTTGTTCTTTTGTTTTTTGGAACCAGGGATCAAACTCAGGAACTTGCACTTGCAAAGCAGACAATGGAATCACTGAACTAAATCCCTGACCCTAGGCTTTCTTTCATTGGAGTTTCTCTAGGAATATAGCATATTTAGGATTTACATGAAGCAAAGCAGCGGGGCGGGGGGGTTCTGGAAGGATTTTCTGAGTCCGTTATGCTCCTTTGGTGACAGATTACAGAAGTTGTCATGGACTTCTTGTTTTTGTTTTTTGGAACCGGGGATCAAACTCAGGACCTTGCACTTGCAAAGCAGACAATGGAATCACTGAACTAAATCCCTGACCCTAGGCTTTCTTTCATTGGAGTTTCTCTAGGAATATAGCATATTTAGGGGATACATAT